CATGTGTTGGCAGCCTAGAAGCACTGTGCGAACAAAACGCTGAAGCGTCCTGCGGGTGTCACTGGGGAGCCACATGGGGGACGAATCCATAAACCTAAGCATGCTGTACAAGCTCCACAGCAACAACCGAATTACTTTACATTCGAACGAGGTTGCTTCAATTTGGTGTGCAACATGAGCTAAGTAGATCACGCAAGCTTTCGCGCTCTCGGCTGAAACCGTCGAGGTCACTTCGGGGTGGTTCCTCTTGCCGTCGCCTCTGCCCAAATGGCGGAGCGTGAAACAGCAAAACGAACTAAGTTTCAGGCCGCGTGCATCAGCGAACGCCCTGAAGTCGAGCCATAGCTCACCCAACGGATCATCATTGCCACGAGCCTTTGGGACCGAAACAAATCTTCCCGCTCTCCTCCTTGGTCCTCCTACCCCTCCTCAACCTTCCGCTCGCTGGTCCCACCGCCTTCCCTCGCTGGCCCACCTCATATTGCCGCCCCCCATCCGTCCCCCCCCCCAGTCTTGGGCGCTCTCACGCCCGAGCCTTGGCCCATTCGCGAAGCTGACCCCCACCGAGCCAATGCGTGATCACGTTTGCAACGATGATCTGGCAGATCCCCAGCCAGAGAAGATGCATCTCGTCCATGAAAATTTGCGCATGTTTGAAGCCTCTGATCTTAAACCACGGCGACGGCACCATACTGTTGAGCTGCCCCAGCGTGTAAACGGTATCTCGCCATTTCGCCGTCGACCGAAAATCTCTGAAGGTCATCGCGGGGTCAGCGTTGGCTGACGTCTGCTGGGCTTCGCAGAGGTCACACATGCTTTTTGTGCGGTAATACCACGGCATGCAATGACGCTCTTTTCTCGCCTTGAAGTCGCCGTGCCACCCCAGCAGACAAGCGCGAACGCCCAGCGGGTTGCCAGTGTGCGCTCGCTTGAGGGCCTCACCGTAAAAGCCCTCGCATGGATGCTTACCTGATAGCAACACTTCCTGCTCGAACGCCATGAACTTCGCAGGCATGGTTTGCACCTCATCTCTCATAGCATCGGGCACGGCCTTGTGCTTCAGAATACACAGCAGGAGCTTCTTGTCGAACATCGAACCTCCTTTGTCGTGCACCATGGCCGGTGAAAACGATACAACGTCAATCTCCGTGGTTCGAAACATGCCAACCCCGTCGTAATGAATGATGAGAGGAATCGGATGCCCATCGATATGCATGCAGAGATCGACGAGGCCTTCGCATTGGTTAGCGTGGCGCCAGAAGGAGCGCACAGACTCGGCTCCGCCAGTACCTATAAGACTGACATGTTCTTGGATGGTGCCTCCAGCGCTGATGAACTCCAACATCTCATGGAGCATGACTATTTCGTTGAGCTGTGGGCCGTCAGAGGTGGCAGCTTGATAAAATACGGCTCGATGTGAACGCCAGGGACAACTTTGTGCATGAGCAGGTGGCAATCTCGCTCGATGCTCTTTGAACTGGCACCGCCGATGCCTGCGCACTTCGAAGCAAGTGGATCAGAATAAGCTCCAGAGGTATCAACATGTGCTTTGCGAACTCGTTTGATGTCGCTCAGGCGAACTCCGTGGGATAATAAGTTCACGGCGTTCTGGAAAACTAGATTGTCCGAGTTCGCCTTGGCACGTTTAGCTGACGCCTGATTGTCTGCATGGCCCCCCTGGACGAGAGATCGAAGACTGACGCCACGTTTGAGAGCACCTGACGGCGCTCGGTGTTCCCTCTGAAGCATGTTTGAGCCTAAGTGGGCTACGGGTGATTGAATGTTAGTGTTGGGCGTCTGTTGTCGTTGTTGTTCTATGGAGCCTAAGTGCACGGGCTACTGCTGTTTTGTTACTGGACTCATGTGGGCTCGAATGTTATGCGTTGACTTCTGATGTTTTGTTTTATGGATGACGTGGTTCGTGTTTGCTTTTAGTGTTCGGTTCCGCGTTCGTTAATGATGGCATTGTTTTCGGTTTCTGGGCGCATTTGTTTGTGAGCGTTCATGGTTGAACTGTTGCTTTGTTATGTGTATGTTTTCAAGGCCCCTATCATGCTGTGCATGCGCGGCTTGCTTCCATGCCAGTTCGTTGCTGCATGGCCTGCCGCTCCCCGAAACTCAAGCCGAGTCCTTGATCGGCTTGCTCTTCTTGCCGCCAGGCACCTGGGGCGACGCCAACGAGCGGGCGAGCTTCCGAACGTTCTGGTCGAACCAAGCTGTCCTCACCTTGCTGACGTTGATGGCCCGTGTGATGTCTGCGCCCTTACCCTCGCCCTTGGTAGCTTCCTAGAAGATGGCATAGAGCCCCTCCTGCTTCTCAGCGAACTGCACCAACGTTTTGCACATAGATTTTGCGTAGGGAGCTGTGGACCCTTTGATCTTCAAGTGGAACTGGCGGGCCTCGGCCATCTCCTTCATGACAGTCGCCATGGTGGCGGCACCCAGCTCCTTCGTCGTGGTCTCAACAGCTGCACCTGGCAGGCCCTGGGGTGAGGTGGTCTTCTTCTTGCGCTTCTTCGCTTGGACGGTATCCTTCAGGACTGCGTCCATGTCGTCGTCGGCCATGGGAGCGATGGAAACGCTGGCGTCAGCACCGAAGACCGCGCCATCGTCCAGGAGACTCTGCGCCTCGTCAGCATTGAGCTTCTTCGAGCCCGACAGCTCGATCTCCTCCTCGATATTCCTCTTGTCCGACATGCTGACCCTCTCCCTCACCCAGCACATCTTCTCCTCGTCGTCGTTCGGGAAATCGGGGTCGTAGACCCACTTGCTCTTCTTGATCAGCTCCTTAACTTTCTTGACTGGTAGGTTCCACGGCGGCCCGACGAGGTCGCGCTCCTTGGCGCACGTCCACCCTGTAGTCGTCTCCTGCAGACGGCTGGCCCTTTTCTTCAGCGTGAGGACCAAGTTGATGTCCTCGCCGTTCTCGAGGTACTTGTTGAAGAGCGCGTTCCTGTCATTCTCGAGGTCGCCCCGAAGCTCGAGGGGGAACCGCTTGCGGTTCTTCGTCAGCCTGATGAAGCGCCTCCAGGCGTTGAGGTCTGTGGACGAGTCTGCTGGCTGCTTCGCAACCTCGAGCTCCTCATGAGGAACTTCAGGACTCGACATGTTCTCGAGCTCACGTTTTTTCTTCTTCTCCAGGTGCGGCATGCCGTGGGGCAGCGAGGATGGCGTATCTGCCAGCCTGGCGGGCGCGAGCTGCCACGAACGTGAGCCAAAATCAGGCGACGGACCACGCAAAAGGTTAGCGGGAGCACTGATCTGCCAATTACCGGTTGTTACCACCAGTTACCGGTTGATTATCGGCCTATTCCCTGTTGATTTTGGGCCGAAGTTTGTGAAACTTTGTGAAAATCTTCGAAAAAAAATAAATATTTTGTTTTTATTTTTTTGTATATAAGAAACCTTACAAAACAGAACATCCAGGGATTGTTTCTCAATTCGCCTGGAAAACGTGGAAGGCCCTGAAGAAAATGCGCATCGTACGCAATCCTGCAGAATCTTGACGGAGGGACGGGGCGACCATATGGGAATTTCACACAGGGGCCTTTTTAGGGGACCTTTAGGCATGCCTATAGGGGACCTTTTACATCTTCTCTTCCCCCTCTCGTCCTTCTCCCTCCCCCCTCCTCCCTCCTTTAACTCCTCTCGTCCTCCTCTCTTCCTCATCTTTTCCTTGCCCTTCCTCCTCCCTCCCTCCAATTCCTCCTCTCTTTCTCCTATATTTCCTCTCTGCCATACTCTTCCTCTTTCAATTGCCTGCAGGTCGCTCCTCCTCTTCCTGCTCCTCCTCCTCCTTAGCCCCCCTCCTCCTCCTCCTTCTCCTTCCCTCCATTAATCCCCTCATCTTTCGGGCGTGGCCGTTCTGGGGGCTGCCGTTTACTGGTTGTTACCGCCTTTTACCTGTTGATTACCTGTCTTTTACCTGTTGATTGGTTGCCTGTTACCTGTTGATTTGCGTGCCCGTTGCCTGTTGATTTTGTCTGGGAAGTCTTGCAAATGTCGGTTCCGTGCGTGTTGTTTTTTTTTTTTGTCTGAAGCGAGCTCCCGAGCTCGATCCCCAGCGCGAGTGTCTCGTGCGCAAGCCTATCGGTGCCTATAGGCTAGCCCCCGCCCGTGCAGCCGTCGATGGCCGTCTCGAGCGCCGCCTCGGAGAGAGTTGCAAACAGGAAATGAAGGAGGGCCAGGACGACGAGAGGAAGGGGGGGGAGAAGGAGAAGGAGGAGGAGGAGGAGAAGGAGGGAAGAGGGGGAAAAGGATGTTGAGGAGCGTTTGGAAACGGGAGGAAGTGGAAGGGAAAGAGGAGGAGGAGGAGGAGGAGGAGGAGGCAGATGGGGGGAGGGAGATGGGGATGAAGAAGACGAGTTGGAGAAGGAGGAGGTGGAAGGACGAGGCACTGAAAGACGCGCGGGGAGAGGATGGGAGAGGGGGGGAAGGAGGCGCGGCGAGGAGGGACACAGGGGCGGGGAGGAGGAGGAGGAGGATGAGGAGGAGGAGGAGGACGACGAGGAGGAGGACGAGGGGGAGGAGGAGGAGGGGGAGGAAAGGGGAGGAGGAGGAGGAGGAGGAGAAGGAGGAGGAGCTCGCAGAAGCCCAACCCTTCAGGGCCACATCAGACGGCCCACATCAGACGGGGGCCACATCAGACGGGGGAGGCGGTGAAGGGGAATGGGTGGATGATGAGACCTCCTCGTCCTCCCTCTCCCCCCATCGCCTCCCTCTTCTCCTTTTTCTTCCTCCGCCTCCCTCTTTTCGCCCCCTGGGATCCAATGACCTCTTCATTTCCTCGCCTCCTCCTCCTCCTTGTCCCCCCCCCCCATCCTGCTTCTCGTCCTCATCTTCCTCTTTCTCGCAATCCTCCCCATCATTCCTTCATCCTTGCTCCTCCTCTTCCTGCTCCTCCTCCTCTTCCTCCTCCTCGTCCTCCTCCTCCTCCCATGTGCCAATGCTGGGTCAAACGATACTTGGCCCGAAGTATCTTCGGGCCCACCGTAGGTGTTCTAGCCGTAGGTCAGCTTGTTGCAGACCGTGAAGTACGTCATCTTGTTTAAGATCACCGAGATCCTAAAGCCGTTGACCGTCGTGGTGTACGAGTTGGCGCCCTTGCCAGTAGATAGGTTGGGCCATGCCTTGGTTGGGATGCCCATATCCTTGAGGTTCCAGTCCAAGTATGCGCTTGCAGCTGCGACATCGCCTGGCCCGTCTGGCATCTCAGGGATGCTGAACTCCATCTCCTCAGTCAGCTTCGTCTTTTTCATTCTCTTGATTGGCTGCGCGGGGCCAGTCTCGCTCATCTTGTCGGGGGTCTCCTCGGCGTCGTCGGCATTCTTGCGAAGCGCAGCCTTCTTCTCGTTCCTCTGCGGGGTGTCCGTGTTCTTGACGTCCGAGTCGTCCCGATCCATGTCATGTGCCTCGCACTTCGGGATGTTCTTCTTCCTCTTCTTCTTCTTATTCTTCGTCTTCGTCGGTTTGGATTTCTTCTTGGGGCCCGCTTTATGTGGCTTATTCTTCTTCTTCTTCTTGCCGACGGCCGCCGCATCAGCGTGCACGATGGGCTTGGCATTGATCTCCAGCTCCTCCGCGATGTTGCCATCGGCGATGTCGCGCTGCTGGCGCTCGGCCTCTTCCTCCAAGATCGCCAGCTGTTCCATGGGGTCGGCTTCGGCCGAGTCCTTCTTCGACAACTGCCGCGCGCCGTCAGCCTCCATCTTGGACAAGCTCTCGCCGATGGAGCCCTCCATGAGCAAGCCACCAGCCTCGGCCATGCCATCTTCGCCAGGGATCACCAGCTCCTCGCCCCAAAGAGCGCCGATGCTCTCCCCGTGGATGTCCTCGCCGTCGTCGGACAGCACGATGGCCGCGCCGTCGTCGACAAGGCTGCCCGCGTCGACGTCGCCAAGGCTGCCCGCGTCGACGTCGCCAAGACTGCCCGCGTCGACGTCGCCAGCAGGGAGCGCGCCGTTCACCTCCTCGCTGCGCGCACCCTCCTCCTCGCTGTGCGCGTCCTCCTCCTCGGTGCACATGCCAGACTCATCCGATGCATCTTTCCCATCGGCATCCTGCTCGGCGGGCTCCTCGCCCAGATCATCGAGAGCGATGGCCGCCTCCTCCTCGAGCTGCTCGGGCTGCTCGGCCTTGCCCTTGGGGAATTAGCCATTCATGCCGCCGCCGTCAGAGAACCGACTTGAGCTCTCAGGCAGCGTCGCCACAATCAACAGATGCTTGAGCTCGGTGACCTTGTCGCTGCCTGCGGGCCGACTCGGTTCTATCTCTCTCTCTCTCTCTCTCTCTCTCTCTCTCCCTCTGTCTGTCTCTTGCTCTCTCTCTCTCTCTCTCTCTCTCTCTCTCTATCTCTCTCTCTCTCTTTCTCTACACATATATATATATACATCCTCTCCCTCTCTCTATGTCTTTCTTTCTCTCTCTCTCTCTCTCTCTCTCTCTCTCTCTCTCTCTTTCTTTTTCTCTCTCTCTCTCTCTCTCTCTCTTTCTTTCTTTTTTTTTTTTTTCTCTCTCTCTCTCTCTCTATCTCTCTCTCTCTTAATATCTCTCTCTCTCTCTCCTCTCTCTCCTCTCTCTCTCTCTCTCTCTATCTCTCTCTCTCTCTCTCTCTCTCTCTCTCTCTCTCTCTCTCTCTCTCTCTCTCTCTCTCTCTCTCTCTCTCTCTCTCTCTCTCTCTCTCTCTTCCTCTCTCTCTCCCTGCTCGCCCAAGGGGCTGTCGGTCGGCGATCGGTTGTATTTTTTGGGGGGAGGGGGATGTTTCAATGATTTCTTCGTTGTGGTATCGGGCTTTATTTGCAAACAAAGCCCGATTCCAAGACGCAGAAATGCTACTCTTTCCATGGGCCCGCGCGTGGGCTCTGCGGGCTCGCCCACCTCGAGCACCCCCTGCGAACGACAGGCAACTACATGGAGCTCACCTCCTCCTTCCTCAACCTCCCCCTTGCCCCACTGCGGCTTCCTCATCCTCCTCCTTGGCCTCCTCCTCCCCCTTCCCCTCGTCCTCTCCGTCATCCCCGCCATCCTTATGCTGGTACTTCTCCTCGAGGTCCTCCGTCGCGTCTCCTCCTCCTACTCCTCCTCTTCCTCCTCATCCTCATCCTCCTCCTCATCCTCCTCCTTCTCCTCATCCTCCTCCTCGCTCCCCTCTTCCCCCCTGCCATGGTTCAAGCTCCGTTGGCCTTTAGATTTCGAGCTGTTCCTGCACAGGTTCTTCAAGCACGCGATGCACGCCTTCAAGTCCTTGGCCGTCTGCACCGCCTCGGCGGCCTTGCCGATCTCGCGCTGGAACAGCTTCCCGTCGGCGAACACGGAGTCCACCATCAAGAACACGTCGGCCCAGAAAAACTCCGACAGGTCACCGAGCCACTTCTTAAGTACAGCTTGCAATACACTGAAATTTCTCTCAAGGTCTTTCGTGTTCGGGGCGGCTCCCGATGTCCGATCCAAATGAAATACATGGCCCTTGAAGTCGCCCGAAAGAACTTTTTCTTTGGCCTGCTTGGAGAGACCTGTCCAAATCGCATGTGCGAAATCAAACACGGCATCCACTGACCACTTGACGCGCTTGGATCTCTGCAAGGACTGCCATTGCTCTGGTGGGCCGCTCGGCCCATCTGGTTCCACGGAAGCGGCCATAAATGGCCCGCGGGGTCGAAGCCTCTATGGATCCGCGGGCCCTCGACACAAATCGGCTGCGGAGCGAAAGCCAGGATTTCAAGCGCCCCCCTTCGCGTGAAATTGGGGGGGGAGGTGGGGGGCCGAGGAGAGCCCGACCATCGTGTCATCTCACGCAAAGCAACAAGACGCCCCAGCGCACTGAGAGGGGGCGACGGGAGGCTTCCAGGTGCTCTCGGACCCAGAGGCAGGGGGGAAGCACAAAGGGGCGAATTCCACGGTTCACAAGGACCCAGCGCAAGCAACAATGACTAAACTGCGATGTTCAGAGGTCCTATAGGACCTCTGAACATCGCAGTGCAGGGTCTGCAGGCGAGTCGTCCCCGCTGCGATTCGATCACCTGCCTCCTCCCGCCGCCTCCTCCCTCCTCCCTCCTCTCTCCTCCTCCTCCTCACTCTCCTCATCCTTTTCCTCCTCCTTCTCCTCCTTCTCCTCCTCCCCCTCCCCCTCCTTTTTTTAGATGCAATGCAAGCGCAACTCAATGCATGATGCGTGCATGTGCAATTTCGTGGTGGCGCGCGGCAGTGTGCGCTATCTACAGCGGGCGCATGCCACATGTACGTTGATTCGTTGATTTCAAATCAACGCGTCTGAAACGCATTGAAGAGGATCTCAGCTCCCGCCCATCGTCTGGGCGCCCGTTTTCCGACACGAAGACTGCGACAACAAGGCCAGCGCCCTGGCCGTGCCGGCGCAAGGCGCAGCGGCGGATCGGCTGCTCGCGTAGGCCTCGGCGACACTGGAACGCACTATCGACGACCCCGACCAACCCTGCGCCAACCAACGTACGGCCACGCCCGCACTGACGGCCCAGCAGGCGGAGGACTCCCCTGGCAGCGTCTTCCAACGACTGCTGCCTGCCCCGAAGGAGGAGCACCTGGAGCGCACCTGCTAGATGCAGCACACCAACACCGCCCAGCGGCGCTGCGTGCTTGCGGCCCAGAAATCCCTCCTTACCCGATGTCACGGGCCGCCCAGAACAGGGGAGACCAAGGTCGCGGCCTGCGTGGCGGACGCCTACATGTCGCGCCTCGCCCCAGGGCGGGGCGCGGGGTGCTTTGGCGGCACCGGCGGATCCATGGGCAACTTGGCATTGCAGATCGGGGAGAATGTGACCCCAGCCTGCAACGACCTGTTCCCTCGCTTAGCCGTGCGCCTCGCACGCGAGGACAAAGCAAGGGGCAACGTAACCAAGAAGATCACCCCTGTCGCCAAGTACGCCAACATGTACAACATATCGGAAAGCGAGGTCACCCAGAAACATGCGGGTTGGTTCCGCAAGTTCCGGGCGGCGACTGAAGCAAAGCTCATCTTGCCCACGCGCGAGGCGGGAGCCGACCTCTGGGACAAGAAGTTCCTCATATGCCTCCTGAACGAAGCAGGACAGACGTCCGAAAACATGGCCATCATGTCCCTGATCCACGCTGTCGGATGCGGGGCCAGGACGGTCCTGATCGGCGACGAGCGGCAGCTGTGCCCGACGGTCAGATCCCAACAGACACTGCGCTGGGGTCTAGGTGTTTCCATTCTCGCCAAATACGTGACAGCCATCGGGGACATCCCCGAATGCAACGTCACCCTGGAGGAGTGCGATCGCGCCCATCCGCCCCTGCTCGCATGACCCTCGCTCACGTTCTACGGGGGCAGGCTAGTCTCAGCCATCCTGGACCCCATGCGGCAGCGACCATGCGCCGAAGGACTGGAGTGGCCGCTCGCATTACCTTTGCCCGACCAGGAGTACGAAGCAGCAAAGAGCGAGGACGGCAGGTACGGGCCCGACGACTCCCTGATCGACACCGTAGGCGGATTCAGGAGCAAGGCAGCTTGCACGGTCCCGAAAGGACACGGGGGCACCGTCTACGACCAGCAACGCTTCATACTTGCACGTCCCCTCGCAAGAGGTCCAGTCCTTGATCCAGGACGGCTGCGCCAACATTCACGAAGCACGCACAGTGTTAGCCCTGGTGAAGACCCTCGAGCCATGGGTACGAAGGACCGACAACACCATCCTCGTACTGTCGCCGTACAAGCGACAGCTGACCCCCGTACTGGCAGGCGACCCCTGTTCGGCGCAGGACATCAGACGCTGCTCGCGAGCGGCGCAAATGGAAGGATCCGGCGCGGACACGGGCGCCCCCGGCTCCCAGCGCCACCAGGGCCGGGGCACCTCAGACTCCTCTCAGGCCAGCAAGGTGGCTCACGGGAGGGGCGTGGATTAATCGCGCCACGACAGCTAACGGCCTGAGCGAGCGCTTCAGCGGAATCGCAGACCTGTTCCCGGACCTCCTGGAAAGCGAGACGATCCGTGTCGCCGCCATCGGCTCCGCCCAGGGACAAGAGGCGCCCGTTGTTATGCCAGTGACCACCCGTGCCAACTCTATGCAAAAATGGGGCCACGTGGACGACGGGCGCCGCATCAACGTGGGGCTGACGCGCCCACAATGCAACCTCATCATGACCGCTGACGCAAGGATGTTCCGCACGGCCACAGACGTTGCACTCCGCCACCTGAGCACCTGCGCTCAGAAGGCGGGATTCGCCTTCGAGTTCCACCACAACCTGGGCGGATCCTGGCGCCAGTCCAGAGCTGACTCAAGTGTCTTCAAGGAGGACGTCCCCGACACTGCCAGACCAGAAGAGAAGGCGCGGCTGCTGGCCGAAGCCGACCGCAGGCGAAAGGAGAAGGAAGTGATCAAGGCCCGTCAAGCTCAGCAAGCTGGCTTCTGGGCGCGCGCCGACCTGCCGCCCCCGGCCGACCGCGGCTGGAAAGACCTGGAGGACGACGTCAACACTGCAGTGGTGCGACTACGATAGTCCAAAGTATTCGGGCCCTGCATACTATGGCGCCTCGGACTACATCCGCGCCAGTACGGCGTCGCGGATCAGCCCACGGACCCCGGCCTGCAGGACAGGAAGGGATGGGGCATGAACGGGCACCTCTTTGTCTGCTCTACGCTGGTGGGACTGGACGCCGGCAACCTGGTGTGCGCGGCGGTCTTTGCGACTATCATGCGGGCCATAATGCTCGGAGTCTCGAGTAGCGACGACGCCCGCGCAGTCGGCCCCGACCTGATCCCACCCAGAAAGGATCGACCGAACATGCCGGCAGCGCGGCACGTAAGGAGGCCTGTATTCCCACTAACGCCCCCAGGCGCAGACCCAAATGCTGGCAACCACCCACCTGCAAGTGCCAAAAGCACAAGGAGCCACCCACACCGCCGGTGTTCCAGGCCTTCTGCAACACGGACTCGAAAGGACGCTCGGCGACAGTCCTCGATGGCCTCCTGGACAGCACTGGCGCAACCCTGGGAGCCATCCAAGCCAGGATCCTGCTCGCCCTGTCCCTGCTCATACAACGAGAACAACGCGCCTGCCTGCGCCCGCGCGGGGGCGCCGAGGGCATCGGCCATCGGCGACGTGATCGAGGCCATCCTCGGCCTGTGCGAGCCGTGCCGCCCGCGC